AGAGGAAGAACACACTAATCTTGACAGGGAGAGAACTGGCCATGCTATCAGACGCCCACAGCGGCGTAGCATTTTATCCTCTAACTCTCCACCCGCTGCACCTGACATCTTTCCTCAGCCTCACAACAAACAGCTCCGCGAGCTGGCAGCCAGGAATCCGTCCTGTAAAATAAATGGGCTCCTAGATGTGAAAAAGCTGCCCGAGAGGCACGGGGGCAGACTGGGAATGGAGACTGGACCGTCCTAAGCAGAAGCTCACCAATCTCAAGATGTGTCCCTTCCCACAACATCCTTTTAACTGCCAGAGACTCTGAACTCAGCTGGATTCTGTTGGCACGGGTGTGTGGATGCATGAGGAGAATTCAGTGGTACCAAGCACTCTCTGGAGCAGTCAGCGGGCTGTGCCTTCAGCACCAGGCACTGGCCATTCGAGGCGAATGTTGACTTTCACCTGAGTTGGGACCAGGAAAAGCAGCAATGATGCAAGCCTACTAGCAGCCATTTAAACACCATCGTCCCCAGGAGCTGCTGGCTTTAGTCTATATGGAAGAGAGAGGAAATACCTGTGCTGGAAAGAAAGTGGGAAGGGACCAGAAGTCACTGTCACCGTCCCTCTGGTCTCTGAGAGGCCTCTGTGAGGGGACAGGTGAGTCCCAGTTTCCAGAAAGACAGCAGATGCTCATGAGGTGAAAACCACACAGCTGCTGAGATGCAGAAGCCATGTGGGATGCAGACAGCCGGGTTCTCTTCCCTCCAGCTGCCTCCCAGACTTGCAAACATGGGTAGTGAGATTCTGAGGGCGGAGTTTTCCCTGCTACTTTATTGGTTTCTTTCATTAGCTTTAATTCATTGTTTCTTTTAAAGTATTTTTCAGATTTATTTATGTTTATTTTGTGCATATGAATGTTTTGCCTGCGTGTATATATGTTCAGCACATGCACTCCTGTTACAGAGGTCATGGGATCCCCTACAACTGCAGTTACGGAGAGTTGTGAGCCACCATGTGGATGCTGGGAACTGTAGCCAGGTCCTCTGTAAGAGCAGCATGTGCTCTTAGCCACTGAGCTGCCTTTCTGTCCCAACACTTCAAGTTTGCCCATTCATTTCCATCCACTTTGTGTGTTCACAGAGCTATACTGACTTAGATTTGTGTAGGTGGAAAACCGTGTGACACGCTTAGGAACACAAGGGTGGACAAGGCAGACAGTGTTCCACCCTTGTAGGAACGCTGTGGAAGAGCATTCTCCTATGAAAAATCAAAAAGCCAACACTCTGGGCTTTTTAGGTGGTGTTCAGCGACTCGGTTCTGTCGTTATTGCATAAGAGAAACTTCATACAATCCATACAGCAATGGGTACAGCTGTGTGACAGTAAACCTTTATAAAAACAGTCAGTGGACCAGATTTAGGAGTTTCCCGCCTGTATCCAGGAACTTCTAGAATGGGGAAGACGCAAAAAAGAAGCAAGCAGGTAGTCATACAGTGTGTTAATCATGCTTTTTTTTTTGGGGGGGGGGGTTCAAGACAGGGTTTCTCTGTGGTTTTGGAGCCTGTCCTGGAACTAGCTCTTGTAGACCAGGCTGGTCTCGAACTCCCAGAGATCCGCCTGCCTCTGCCTCCCGAGTGCTGGGATTAAAGGCGTGCACCACCGCCACCACCGCCCAGCTTAATCATGCTTAAAGGAAGCTGTAGAGTGAGCTCTGCTGACCTGTTGTGGGGACGCCAAAGCCAGAGTGGGGGAAGCTTCCGGTAGAAACTGGCATTCCAAAGCAGCATGGAGGGTGATTGGAACTAGCCTGATCCACATATCAACTCTGCCACTGAAGATGCTCTCCTTAACCACGCCCTTCATAAGCTTTTCTTGGCCTGTGTTTTCTTGACTTGTCTCTTTTTATCAACAATTCAAAGCCTCTTCCTTTACTCACACTGCAAGCATCGACTTTCCTCCTGTCTGCCACACTCTAGACTCCTCTCAGTCTGTCAGCAGACTTCAAAACTCTGTTCAGAGAGAAAGCTATCCTTAAACAGACACATCTCATGGGATGTAGCTCATACTTCAAAACATAAATAAAGCCAGCAGCTTGACTCACGGGAGCCCTAGCAGATGGCTGTATTGCCACCAAGTCTGCAGCTGCCAGAGGCTGAAAAGCCCCAACTTTATTCTTGTACCTTAAATTTTTTGTCACAGACAAATTTGCAAGAAATGTGAAGTACAGCCCAAAGGGAAAAGTATACACCGGTAGGACAGTATCAACAATGAGCGGCAAAGTCAGCCCCAATGCCTAACCTGCCCATACAAACGAGTAGAATTAGATGCAAGGTGCAAGATGATACACTTAATGTTTTGACAGAAATGGACAGAAATAGCATGGAGAAAATAAAATAAATATTAAAAACTTCATTTGAAAGAAATAAAACTAGGGAGCCAAAGGAGATTCAGCAGGCAAAGGCCTTATCACACAAGCCTGAGGACTGCAATCACATCTCCTCCACCTGCACACACACACACAGACACACACACACACACACACACACGCATGCACACTACAACAGACATGGAAAAAATGAAAGAGTCTAACCATTAACAATCAGGTAAGAATCTGCTAAACACAGTTCAAGAAATAATCGGTTACTTTGGAGAGATAGAATAAGTGACAGATTAATTTTCTAAAGAGATGTAGAGATGGAAAACCTAGAATGGGAAAGAGCCAAATAAAGAATCAAATGCTGGCACTGGAAAACGACTCCATGTATAAGAGCTCTTGAAGCGTTTGCAGGAGAGCTGAATTCACTTAGCGGCCCCCATATCTAGTTGGCCATTGCCACCTGTCGTCTCCAGCTACAAGGAGATCAAAGCCTCTGTCCTCTGAAGGTGCTGTGCCCGTGTGCACACACAGATGCACACAATTAAAAATAAAAATACAGCATGTCTACAAATCACCAAGGGCTAATGCAGACACACAGGAGCTAAAATTCCTGAAAGATGAGAAACATGAAGGGCTGAGAAAGATGGGGTGAAAAAGGCAACTTTTCAAAAAAAAAAAAATCGGGACTACAGCTTTCCAGCGTTCTTGGGAGAATGAATGCAAAGTCAGCCCACTTCCAGGCAATGAGCTCCTCCCTGTTTAGTCCACTTGGTCGAGTTGAAAAGGAAGCAGTCTCTACCGTTTTGACAAATCCTCAGGCTGTGAAAGACTGTGATGGTTCCATGCTACAATGTGCCTTCCAAAGCAAGCGGTATTGTGAAAGGCCTTCTGTCCTGTTTGTATTTTCCTCATTCTCCCAACCTATAGGTTTCTTTCCATAGTAACACTTTATTAGTTTTAGTAAAAAGAAAAAAAAATGGGGGAGGGGAGATATATTGGAGTCTAGGAATTGGGACCACGCTGGAATCCCTGGAAACCCTCGAAGCTGGTTACAGCGTTCGATCATGAAACGTTTGCATAAGGACGGTTGTTTGCTGAAGGACAACCACATGGTCGAGTCAGTGACACCAGCAAAGAAAGTTTATTAAAAGCGTCTTTCCAGACCTTGAACTGAAATTGGATTTAGCAAATGCCACCCAAATACAGCTGTCCTTCGGCCTACTCGCAAGAAGGTAGGAACAGGCTTGGCTAAAACTTAAGGATCCCTCATTCATATATCACCACCTTCCTGCCCTGTATATGACAAGGAGGAAAAAAAAGCAGGAACTCTTCTCTAGCCTATTCGGCAAAGCTGCCTTTAAGTCACATAAATGAAAGTGATTTGCTCATGTTAGCTAAGTGATTCAACAAATCCTATACTCGATTGCATAAGTTTCATAAAATAGAAGATTTAAATTATAGTAATTTTTTTAAAATAAAATCACGCCACGAATATGTTTATTGTTTGCAGCTACTGAAATCATTTTCTGCACACAATTATAACCTACAAAGCAAAATGCAGAAATGGTGAAAAAAATGTTTCTTGGTCTAGTTGATTCACTGCCCCCTTTTAGAAAGCTGTTGGTCTCTGGATGTCACATCTGCTAGGCCTCAGGGCAGGGGGCTTAAATTTTAAATACACCTGCACTAACAATAAACTTATTTAAACTGTAGGCTCTAGGAGCCTAGAGAAGTGGCTCAGGCCGTCAGTGCTTGCCACACAGCATAAGGATCTGAGTTTGATATCCTGGAGCCCACATTTTTTTGTTGTTGTTTTGTTTTGTTTTTTAAGGTTTTCAAAAACAGTCATGTTTGGTTTTATTTATAACTTTTGGTTCAGAGTCTGCTTAAAATGTTTTCCAGATTTTTTTAAATTTATTTATTTCTTTATTAATTAATTAAAGATTTCTGTCTCTTCCCCACTGCCGCCTCCCCTTTCTCTCCCCCTCCCTCAGTCAAGTCCCCCTCCCAGCCCACATTTTTAAAAGATGTTTGCCATGGTGGCAAACATCTGTAATCCCAGCACTGGCAAGGATTCCTGGGGCTTGCTGGCTAACCAGCCTCACCAAATTAGAGAACTCCAGGCCACTGAGAAACCTTACCTTTAAAAATTAAGATGGAATGATTGAGGCAAATACCCAACATGGACTTTCAACTGCCACCCAGAAGCTCACATCCATACACACATCACAGGTTCCTGGTCCAGCTTCAGGAACTCTGATTCTAAGATAAAGCCCAGAATTCTTCCCTTTTACTGGTACCCCGGATCATGTGAGTTTTGTCAGTGGCTCCATAGCGCTCCTCAATCCTCTGCCTTGGGATAAATAGATCTACAAGCCCTCCCTTCCCTACAAACTGAAGAACACCTGCTAGGCTAGTCCATAGAAGCGACCTGACTGTCAAGGTATTGTATGGGCTGGCTCTCCAAAATGACTCTGGTGTGAATCCATAATCAAGGAGAGGGACGGAGCAGAGTCACCACAATTTCCAGGCATAAAGTGACAGCTAAACAGGAATTCATGGGTAGGCAAAGACATTCCTTGCAGATGTCTGTATGTCTGTCTATTCTCCCCCCTCTCAGGACAGGGCAGCTCACCTTTTCATAGTTGTCATGGTAATGGGCCATTTTCCTTCCGTCTTCAACTCTAACCTCAGTTTCAGGAGTGAGAAAGAATGGCAAGAGTTGATGAGAGGTTGGTAAAGTTTTTATTTATCCCCAAAGAGTAGGCGGTTAATATTGACCTGATTGCACAGCAGACCTGTGGCCTTTTTAAAGCCAAGCTCCTTGCTGAGTGGTCAGAACCAGGGGTGTGGGGAAGATATGTCAATATGTTTTGCTAAAATGCAATTGAATTTGCTCTTCGTTTAAAGTGACCTTCAGAGCACTGTTTCAGAAATTACTCCCTTAAGGCAGGGATTATTGTAGGTGACAGATCCTAATTATTAACAAGGCATGAGGGTTTGTCATTTCTAATGTACGAATCACATGCATTTACGCTCACGGATAGTCAATCAGAAGAGAAAAGAAACACACAATATACCTCACTCAACATCTGCTTGTCAAGAATTCTTGTTCCTGTGCACTCCACACTCTCTAATTCACTCCGGAGTTAACTACATAGGTTAGCAGGTTAAATGCCCCCTTTCCCTCCAGACTTTTCTATGACTTTGCAAACTAGTCAATAATCGAGCACAAAGGCACCCGGAGTCACACTGGAATGTTGTGACAGAACCATCAGGTGACATGGGACTCAGCCTCTTCTGTTTATGTCTGAACAGTGAACCACGAAAGAGAATAGAGCCCACATCTGAGCCAGCACGGCCTGAGAAAGACTTGACAGAGTCCCTGGCAACAGATAGAAAATGACAGCAAACCCTCTAAGAACAGCTCTTGCTTTGCTCCTCTTTGCCCTCTCTGGGGTCCCAGCCATGGCAGAAATCTCTTGCAGAGGTGAAAATGGTGAACCTGTGGACTGGTAGGTAAATACAATGGGATGGTGGGTGTGTGAAAATAGAAAGTTGGGGCATGTATGTGGTGAGCCTAAGGAAAACTTCCACCTGCCTTCCTTCCTTTAAAGAGCCGCAGGCTGGAGCTGGGGATATGGCTGAGCTGACAGAATGCTTGCCTAGCATGCATGAAGCTCTCAGTCCCCAGCACCGCGTAAACTGGATAGGATGGGACACACTGTAATCCCAGCAGAAGCATCAGGAGTTCAAGGCCATCCTCAGCAGCAAAGCGAGTTTTAGGCTAGTTTGGCTTAGATGAGAGCTTGTTTTAAATAAATAGATACTTCTAATTGATTCTAATTGGATACTGGATATTACTGTTTTAGATTCTAATTGGATACTGGACTTTATTGTTTCCGTTTCTAATTGGATACTGGATGTTACTGTTTCAGTTTCTAATTGTCTGGATACTGGATGTTACTGTTTCAGTTTCTAATTGGATACTAGATGTTACTGTTTCAGTTTCTAATTGGATACTGGATGTTACTGTTTCAGTTTCTAATTGGATACTGGATGTTACTGTTTCAGTTTCTAATTGTCTGGATACTGGACCTGAACAGTACTTTTTCAGCTTTATTCACCTCTTAAATAAATCAAGAATATTTTTGATGCTTTTAAATAATAAGTAAATAGATAGATAGATAGATAGATAGATAGATAGATAGATAGATAGATAGATAGATACATAAATTAATTAATTAGAAAGAAAAGGACTTGATGTGTGCCACTGGGTTCAATCCCCAGGTAGCGTTGGTTGCTGAGTGGGTGAGTTGCCCCTGAGAAAACTCCAAACAGTTCTCTGGAGACTCAGTCAGTGCTCTTGGGGGCGTGGCAGAAATAGACTGAGTGACCATTAGGTAGCACACAGCCCAGAAGGCCTCTTGGAGCCTCTTTAACATTGGGCTATGTTTTGAAAATAATTAAGAAGTTGTTTTTAAAATGCTATGGAGATGCTATGGCCTCTCAGGCCAATGGAGGAACAAAGGATTAGTGTATTGTGTTTGGCTCGCTGAGTCTCTTGGGGTTAATTACAGGGTCTCATGTTGTTATTATGCATTTGGTTAGAACAATAGTTTTAAAAGTATGGCAAATTTGCTCTTGGGGGACTTTTGACAAGGTCTAGCGACAGTTTTGATGGCCACAACGTTGGATTACTATTGGCATCTAAAAGGAGGATGCCTACAGGACACAGGCCAGCTCAGTAAAAATAGACTTTGGTCACAATGGGACTAGAGCACTCGAGAAAGCCTGGCTTTCTTGGGGTGACCCAAGGCTGGCTGAACATTACATAGGCCTAACCACTTGTTCTCATGGTGAGCTAAGCAAAGGAAAGAACAAATGGAATGACCACAGACATAGGAAAAGGCCTGCTTCAAACCCTTAATGAGCAAATTTCCATCTAGAACATTCTGATAAACTGAGCTGTAGGAAGTTGCTCAGGACCAAGCTGCAGGAAAGGCTCCACCCAAGATAAATCTCACAATTAGAGCTTATATTCAACTGACTAACCCTCAAGAGACCAGGGGCTAAGCACTGTGGCAAGAGTGACCCCAAGAAATGCAGAGTGAATCGCAGACCCAGACCTTAGCCTTCTCTCCTCTGTGACCACTGGGGCCATTGGGGCTATGTGGACACAAGAGAAACAGACTTACTCTCAACACATATGAGCTTTGATTCCAGGGGCCTCAGTCACTAGGCCAGCTGATATCTTAGATTCTAAGACTTAGAACTTACTGCCCACACCAACCTTGCCTTCCTGGGGAGAAAGGTAAAAACAGGGACAGAGAAATGGACAGAAGCCTTGAGTAGTCCCTTTGCTCAGAGGCCTCCTATGAAACACAGTGAATGGTTTATTGATGTGGGTAACATAGCCTGCCAGCAGGAAATCAGACAAATGCTAACAACTCTGAACTATTTGCTGTGTTAGGGTTATCTTTTATAAGGTGCCCAAAGTGTTTCATAAGAACAGGACAGGGCTGGAGTACCTGTACCTAGACTCCTTAACAAGAAAATGGAAGAAGAGCAACCATCTGATCAACAACAACAAAAGTATTTTGGGAAGGACCCTGGAGCCACTGTATGAAGCATACAACTCCAAGGTAGGGTACAGTCTATCATTTGTGAAGATCATAGAAGGATATAAACAATCTAAATCATCATCTGAAATCATCTTTGAAATATAAATATATATATTGAACACACCCCCCTAACCCCTAACTGTAGAAACTTGAGATAAACTCGCGCAGAACTAGGCCAGGACAACCAAATCAACCTGACTAAGGCTTTAAGAAATACATCATCCTACTCTATACCAATGCTAAGTTGTCAATTTACTTTGTTAAAAACAAAGAATCATCTCAGTAACATATGAAGGAATACACAGACTAAGCAAAAGCAGCCTGGCATAGCAATCCTTTTAAGGAAAAGGGTGTGCTGAGACCCAAACTGGGCTAGCCAGCATACTTAGACAAGGTGGCTTCCATCTTATATCCGTGATGAGATAGCAACCATGTCTCATCCTATTGGTGGGAATTCAACTTCACAACCTGATGCAATTAGTTAATCAGTGCAAAGGGAACCAGGGAACCAGGAAGATTCAGGAAATATAAATCCTTGCTAAGCTAACTACCTTTGATTAAAACAAACAAACAAAAATTCTCACAATGTGGCAGCAAGTGTAATAGCACCACTAGGCAAGAAGTGAAATGATGGCTTCCCGAAGTCTTCAGGCTGTCAGATCTCGGCCAACTCGTTCAGCACGTCCTCTCTTATGCATGGGGTAAGAGCCCTGTCCAGCAGCCAGGGGTCTGTGAGCATCAGGCCTTGAGTTTGGGCTGTTTGGATCATGGTGTTGATGAGTACTAGTGATCCAAGGAAAAACTCCTCTGGGTTTTCCTTTGAATTAATTATTTTCAAAACAGTAGTAGGATGCCACCTAAGGCTTTAGCTTCAGGGTCCTAGACCTGACTTATCTGAGTGGAGATGAAGCCAGCAACCTGGACTTCAAGGTAATGAATTGACTAAAGACAGATTAGATTAGCAGGCAGGCCTACTGCGTCAGTGTGGCCAGCTCCACGGTGTTGCAGGATCCATCCATTCCATGCTTTCCAGACATGGAAGGCAGGTAATACCAAGCAGTAACCCACCCATAGTTCTACTCCACGAAGACATTCCCTGACAGTAGTTTATGGGTGTGTTTAAAATGACTTCACTGAGTAGTGGTGGTACACACCTTTAATCCCAGCACTTGGGAGGCAGGGGCAGGAAGATCTCTGAGTTAGAGGCCAGCCTGGTCTGCAAGAGTTAGTTCTAGGACAGGCTCCAAAGTTACAGAGAAACCCTGTCTTTAAAAACAAACAAAAAAATAAATAAAAATAAAATTAAATTAAATCAATCTCTCTATCCTATGCTAGGTCCCCTCCATGAATGCATTCCCTGAAAACACTTTATGAGCATGTTTAAAATGACTGTGTCTACACTATGGTAGGTTCTTGGCTTTTCACCTGTCAAATAGTTTAACATTCACCACAACAAGACTGTGGTCTTGTTCTGTGGGTTAGCTTCTAGTACTGCCACCCCAGTCTACCTGAGTCTACCTGAACATTCTCTCAGGAGACATCACTGTGTGTGGTGGTGGTGGGGGTGTGTGTGCTTGTTTTATTCGTCTGCTATTAAAAGCAACCTTGAAGCAAAACTGCACAGTTAAAACGACTCCAATCCCTGATTGAGTACATGTAATGAGCCAAGCCCTGTGGCGGGTGCTTTTCAAAATAATTTCATCTCAATAGCAACCCAGTTTTGAATAAACAGGCTGTCATGTAAAATGAAGAAGAAATCCAGTATCACACATTGAATTTCACCACCTTTTCTAAGTGTCAATGTGGCACTAAGAAATGGTTTGGGAGAAAACGACGCTCACATGAGAGAGGAAGGGGAGCGAATAGTGAGGAGTGTCCTGATTAAATACAAAGCTACATGAAGGCAGTGAGGCACGACCCAGGCAGAGGCAATGAGATCCCAGCGACCCGCTCCACTCCGCACCTATAACATCTGTGGGAAAAACCCCAGGTGTAACCTTTGGCTGGTTGTCCCAGCTTTACTTCCTGAACAAACAATTCTGCACCCTTTGATCATCCACTGCTTGCTTAATCAGATCCCTGCTTCCAAAACAACCAAGGGAAATGGAAGTGTCATCCTCACACACAGACCACATAGGGCTCCTGTCACACGAGGCTAAAAGAGCCAGGCAGTGGCACGTGCCTATAATCCGGGAGCTGAGGAAGTGGAGTCAGGTGGCTCCCTGAGGTTTGCTGGCCAGTCAACCACTCTACTGAGCTAGGCTAGTTCTAGGCCAGGAATAATACCCAAGGTTGTTGTCTAGCTCACACACACACACACACACACACACACACACACACACTGCACACAAATACGCATGTACACATATACACATAAAATCTGTATGAGTGAAAACGGGCTTCTCTCCTCTGTCTTGCATGTCACAGACTTCATGTTCTTGTGGATGATTTCTTATGTGTCCTAATGAAAGCTCGCTGCTGCAGCCTGGGAAGCTGATAGAAATAGTGAGAGTATTTGAAAATAGAGGACTCATGCCATTATAATCCTCATGTATTCCCACAGAGCAATAACACAGCCTATCTAATATACAATGACGGTGTCCCTAAGTCTATGAATTACAGCAGAAAGTATGGACATACCAAAGGTAAGTCAGGGGTTCTTGGCTTTCCTTTCCTACTGGGAATCAACATTTTCTTAAGCCTTTCCTCTTTAATTTCCTCATATTCCACATTAAAAAGACAGCTTTTGTTTTTATGATTCATCCCGACTTACTGAGGTATGATTTCTTTATAGCGTTTTACAAAATAATTAGATGACTTGACATCCCAAAGCCCTTTTCATTTCTTACCATTTAAAAAAAATGTGCTTTAAAGTAATCACGCCAAGTACTGGTCATTCAAATACATATGTACATACATAAGTCATATATACATATATTCACATGCATGTGTGTATATATATGTGTGTGTTTATATATTCATATGTATATATACATGGACACACACCAGCAAGGATATAATGGGGGTGGGAGGGTGTGTATGAGAGAGAGAAGTATATATACACACTTTTTAGTTACATTTTGTTGATTTTTATTTGTTTCATTTTTGCAGGCCAATCAATCTACCACTGAGTTATACCCCCAGACCATTGTATAGAATCTGCCCAAATTGCTCAAGCTAGCCTTGAACTTCTGATCTTCTTGTCTGAAATTCCCATGTTGCTAGAATTATAGGCTTATGCCAGGCTTATGGAAGTTTACCAAGCTATATTTGCTTTGAATAAAATTCATTCTATTAAATGTGCAACTCCATTTAAAATAAACACTTAAAAACATATCCTTAAAGTTTCTCTTGCTAGTAACATAGTGCTTGGCTACATATTGTTTCTTGATCCAGGAATTCTTAACATAGTAACCTTTGTTATTTTTCATTCACAGACTATCCATAAGTGTATGTGTCAGAGAAAAATTTAAATGTAGATAAACAAAAACAAGTAATCCTAATACTCGGGAGCTTGTCAGGTACTATGTATGGTTAACAAGAGCTCTCCTCTTCACAAAGTATCCTCCCTGGCTCCCCTTTTCAATAAGGGGACACCATGATGTGTACCTGGCTTGTTATTGAAGTCCTTGAAATAGGAGTAAGATCATTCTCAAGAGCCTAAGAAACCCTTAGGTAGGCTTCAGTGTCACAGTTTTGAAATGTATTTTGAGAGAAGATCTGCTTTCTAACTTCTCCAAATCAAATGTGTCTTTTTTTTTTTTGGTAGGTCTACTTGTATGGAACAGAATCCAGGGCATCTGGCTGATTCATTCTGTTCCCAGGTTTCCTCCACTTCCGAAAGATGGCTATGATTATCCATCCTCAGGGAGACTTTATGGACAAAGTGGCATCTGCATAACTTTCAAATACAGCCAGTATAAAAAAATAGGTAACCCTGGAGCTTATGTAAAGGGGCAATGTGTTGACGAAGGAAGCAGGAGCCATATAAACAAGGGTGCCACTTCTTCTATTAATCTGTTCATAGACCTTCTGGTGCCTAGATTCTCCTACTGCCTCTGCTGGGTGAAACCTTGAGCAGGATCCTTTACCCAGCCTCAGTTCCTGGTCTGTAAGTGACATTGTTGAACTCTACCAGGGAAAGAATTTCAAATTAATTTGGGGGCTAGGTAAGTAACAAAAAAAAAAATGGGTGAGGCAGACCGATGTTGCACAATTACTGGAGACAGTGACAAACTTAGGTATTGACTTTCCGTTGGATGCCTTCAGAGGCCTCAGTGCTATCATAAACACACAGAAACAGGAAATTACTGATTAGAGATCTCTGTACTTTACATGAGGAACCAGATAGCATGCGTGCGTGTGTGCATGTGTGTATGTCGTGTTGCATAAGAGACAAACCCCTGTTTTTAGATATAGACTCAATGTCAGTTTTTTAAATATTTCTTCAGAACAAATATTGCCTTCATATTCCCAAGATCACACCTCAGCCATAGATAAACGTCTTCTAAGATCTCGTGCTCAAATAGCCCAAAATACTTTTATTTGGCAAATGGCTGTATGGAGGTTAGAAAAGACGTAGTGTGTTTGAGCTTCATGTACAGGAAGCTTAGAAATGTTTCTCACCTAGTTCAAACTTGAGCTCTGTATTAGTCTAGACCAACGTCTTAATCTTCTTAATGCGACAACTCTCTAACACAGTTCCTCAGGTTGTGGTGACCCCAACCATAAAATTGTTTTAGGTGCTACCTCTTAACTGTAGTTTTGCTACTCTTATGAATCATAATGTCAAAATATGAGATGCATAATATCTGATATGCAACCCTGTGAAAGGGCCATTTGATCCCAAAAGGTTGCTCTCCAAGGGTGGAGAACCACTGGTCTAGACTCTAGGCTAGATTCTTGAGGGACAAAAGTGGCAGAATGAATACATATCTACGTGATATTTAGTACAGTAAATACATATCTATATAATATTTAGTACAATGAATACATATCTACGTGATATTTAGTATAGTGATTTATAGCTAATCCGACATTGGCTGTTTACCAATGGGAAGGCTAAGAATCCAGTAGTTGTAGGCTGGTTTTCTTTGCTTTATGTTTAAAAAACACTTATGAGTGAGTACATGTGATAATTGTCTTTCTGTGTCTGGGTTACCTCACTCAAAATGATGTTTTCTAGCTCCATCCATTTTTCTGCAAAATTCAAGAAGACCAGCCTACAAATCACAATCCCAGAGAACTTAGACAACAATGAGGACCCTAAGAGAGACTTACATAGATCTAATCTACATGGGAAATAGAAAAAGACAAGATGTCCTGAGTAAATTGAGAGCATGGGACCTTGGGAGAGGGTTGAAGCGGGGAGGCGAGAGGCAGGGAGGAGAGCAGAGGAAAAAATGTAGAGCTCAGTAAAAATCAATAAAATAAAATAAAAAGAATCCAGTAGTTGTTCAGACCATAAGGCTGAATGTCTCAGTTAGTCTTCAGTACATGCCTGAACTCCAAAGAACTAACCTATAATTTCAGTGAAAGACTGAACTGGACATTGAGAGTTAATGCAAGCAGGCAAAGAGCAGACGCTTCTTTCTTTCACGTCCTTTAGATAGGTTGCCACCAGAAGGTGTGGCCCAGATTAAAAGTAGATCTTCCCGCCCTCAAAAGATCCAAGTTAAAGGTTGGGTGTTCCCACTTCAAATGACTTAATTAAGAAAAATCCCTCACAGGTGGACACAGCCCCTTGGCTTCTGGTCGATTCCAGAGGTAGTGGAGCTGCCAATCGAGCCCAGCCATCACGGCTCTCATCTGACTCGTCATAAGGCAGAGTGCAGAGCTCTACGGGGATGGGGCGTACAAGGAGCTGATTATTCTTCAAGCCGAATGTTCGGCACTGGGAGTTCTTTACCTTCATATAGCACACATAGGAAAGAAAGCAGGTGGGCAACAAGGCAGGGTTATGTAGGAATGAATTTCAGCTCTGCATCGGCAAGCTTTATAATCCCGGGTATGTGGCAGAGTCTCAGTTAATTCATCTCAAAAATGGGAATGGTGGTAGCAACAGAATTTACCTAATAATTACATGAGTTAGATAATTATTAGGTAAATTAGAATTTACCTAATGATTAGATGGGAACGACATAAAACAGCCTGGGGAGAGGGTTTGGATAAACTGATTGCCAGGCCCTGAATTTAAATCCCCAGAATTCAAATCTAACAGCAATGCACTGTAACCCCAACACCCCTACCACAAGAAGGAAGCAGAGACAGGAAAATCTCCAGAAGCTCATGGGCCAACTAGCCTTGGGTATGCCATGCCAAAATGCAGGGAGACCAAGCCTTAAATAAGGCAGAAAGGAAGGACCGACACCTGAGGCTGTCCTCTGACTGCCATTCGTGTGACATGGCAGGCACATGCATATATGTGCACACATCATGGGTGCATATATGCACACATATAAACATTATATACCCCCGCCCCTCCAAAAGACTAAAAATGACATAAAGCCATAAAAAATATGGAGGGTAGGAAATGTTCAATATGCTTCAATTACTTTAAGCACAAGGCATCTGAAGGCTGTTGCTCTAAAAGGGTGGGAGGAATATATGCTTGGGGAATATTTTGTTTCTGTATTTCAATCCACACAAAAATCCATAATATCAGTTTTATGCTTAAATTCTCAGCCTTTCTTTATTGTCTCTCGATTTAGATTTTCAGCTCTTTGTCTCCCAACCAAACATCTACAGCTGCTCCATCCCAAACATCTTCCATCAAGAAATCGTCCATATGACTCATATGTGTGCTAAGTCCGGCTCCTTAAACATCCCTGACCGGAGGCTCACCTCTCTGCAATCTGCCCAGGGACTGGTGTTCTTCCATTTTGCGAAATCCTCTCTTTATACTGATGGTAGGAAAGGCTGTCGCCTTGTTAGTAGGAATCAGGTGGTTGCTTAGAGAAAATGCTCTGGTTACTCGAGACAGAGAAGTGGGAAAGAAGGGAAGCTAGGAGGCCAAAGGGGAAGAGAGACTTCAGGCATCAGCTCCTGCGTTTCCTTGTTCCCTGTGAATGGCTGTAGTTGCCAGCTCAAACACAGGAGCACGTTAGACACACACAGCTGGGCTTCCAGAGACTCAGTTTTAGTTTCTGCTGGGCATAGAGTCACAGCTATTTCCGGAGTCTGCTAGGCAGTCGCTCTGAGTCCTCCTTGTTTTCAAGCCCTTTATCCAACCCTTTCCTCTTTCCCGTGGTGAGAACGAAGACCCTAAGGGAGCAATCATTTAAGTTTTGTACCCCCTTGCTCTTAACTATCCTCATGTTTTCGTACTTGGGTTTATACACATTCCAGCAGCCACCATGCCCTCTCTATAACCCACTCTCCTCGAAACTCTTCAGTGGTTTTTTTTTTCTACTGAATCTGTTCTTTCAAACCTCCCACTCTCATAGACTCTCTTCTTTGTAGCACACAGGCCTATTTAAAAGCTACTCCTCAAGTTTAAACTGTCCATCTTTCTGGTTTCCCCTTCTCCACCCAAATTTCTTTTGACACAACTTCAGAGACTTCAGCGGCTTGATTCTCTTCACTTTGAGTCTTTCTTTTGTCTGTAAGCAATGTCTCCCAGCCGTGAATGCTTGTCTTACATAGCCTTGTGGTCTCCCGTGCTTTTTGCTTTTTTTCCTTCTTTTCTACTTTATAGGGAATTTACCTACAGCCTATGTCAGACACTAGAGATACAGAAACTAATGGGACAGCAAAAGCTGTTGCCGGCCACGGTGCTAATAAAAACCTTCCCTTCCTTGGATGTTTTCCTTCACTGATTCTGGAAGCATAGCCTCCTGGTCTTCCTTCTGATGTATTAAAGTCCCTTGTGCCGGAGCTGCCTCCTCAGGAGAAGAGATTGCTGTATGGTTTTCTCCCCTTTCCTGTATTGCTCTATGTGCCATGTGACATAATTTCAGAAAGCCCTTGGGTGATTTCCAAGGCTGGGATTTCTGCCCCAGACATCTATTGTAATGGATGCACTCAACAGTGAATGGGCTGTTTCACCAAACGCAAGGTGCCAGACTGGTCTCGCCATCTTCGCCCACATACCCACTCTCTCCTTCAAATTCCACACCGTCTCCAAGACGTCATACATTCCCTCTTTCCCTTTCTCCCAACAAACCACCAAATCCATCCGGTTTCAGGTCCTTAAGAGCTTTCAGTTTCTTCAGATCCTCTCCAGCTCTCCCACTACCATAGTCCACACCAGTGTTTTTGTCACAGTAGTGAAAATCTGATATTCCCTACATCCCCTGAAATCCACCCTTTCAAGTTCATCCTGGACGGTATCCCTCAGTTAACATTTATGACCATACATTAGTTTCTCTTTGTTCTAAACTAACACTTTTCTAAAACTCCTCCCACTGACTTCAAAAAACTCAATCATAATAGTGTGACTTATAAAAATCCTTGAAATTGCCTCTAATTCTCCAGCCTTATTATTTCCAGAAGTTTTTTTTCATGGTTAAAACATATATTACTTTCTTTGTGTGGGAGAGAAGGTGTTTGCAGACTCCGGCATCTTTACATTGTTTTAGGATTTAGAAACTATTTTCCCTCCCACTATGTTACAATGCAGTCATGCTGTTGCAATTGTCAGATGCGCAGAGCAGTGGGGGCTTCTACTCCCCAGGGGCTTTTCAGGGATGACCTGGCCGATCTCATTCACTGTTTCTCTCCTCCTGGCCCCTAGACATCTTTACAGGCTGGATGGCTCAAAGCTTGAAGACACCTTTACTAGTACAAACCTGGCAGCGGAGGAATCATGAGCTTCCTTCCAACTGCTCCCTTCGTTACCACGTCTACAATATCAACTACATTAGACTAGATCGCAAATATTCCTTCAGTTCTTACCATGACCATTCCAAATGGTGCGTTTCCCGCAACTCCAACAATCACTGGACCTGTATTGGAGATCTAAATCGGGACCCACACCAAGCCGTCAGAGGTGGGGGATTCATCTGTACCATGAGTTGGCACATTTATCAGTCATTTTATGGAGCAGCTACTCATTATAAAAAATGTGGCTAAGCTTGGGGCAAGGACCTGTGCACTGCCCTTGAAAATACTGGAAATGGAACTTCTTGCCTTGGATCCATTCTCCACATGTTAAAGGTTTCTGAGTGTGCACAGCGTAGCATCCAATAAAACACGGTGGGTCCCCATTTCCCAATCTGTTTAATCAGTAGAAATTTGTCTCCTTTGTATTTAGGAATTAGAAACCCAAATCAAGATATACAAATAACAATAATGGATGGAATGAAAGAGAATATTCTTGCAGTTTGGTCATCTTCAGTGGCCGATCTTGTAGATTAAATTTGATCTCTTCTACAAAGCTCTCCTGACTGTTCCGTTCGAAGAAAATAAAAAGTCTGCTCTCTCTCTCTCTCTCTCTCTCTCTCTCTCTCTCTCTCTCTCTCTCTGTCTTTCCTCCCCTCTTTCTCCTCCCCACTGGTTTATAGTTTTGTCTCGCCATCTTTGCAAGTGCTATTTACTACTAATATATTCTTGAACTGCTCACTTTAATTCTCCATGTCATTTTTGAGGGAAATCATACCTAAGCATGTTCAGCCACCTAGTACAGAGCTTGTCATGTAGCTGGCTAACAATTAAATCACTGGAGGAAGCCAAGCCTATAATCCCAGCTATTCAGGAAACCGAGACAGAGCTGTTGATCACTAGTTCAAGACCGACTTGAAAACAAAGTGAACGCAAGACTAGCCTGGGCAACCTAGTGAGAACTTATCTGACAAAAAAATTAAAAATGTCTGGGAGGTAGCTCAGTAGTGGAGCCTGTGTACAGCACCTGCAAGACCCTGAGCTCCATCTCACTTCCTCTGTAGTACAGTACAGGATGCAAAATGGTGGTGAGATTTGAATTTGACCTCCACCCAATAAAAAAAAAGACACAAAGAAGTTTTATGAATGGTTTTTAGGAAGGACTAAGTGAAGAGATAGAATGAAAACAGTGTGAGTCTAAGTCCATGAATTTGAAGGAAATGCATGTAAATGAAGAAGCAAAAATCAAGGGTGGTCACCTTAGTGTCCGTGTTTCTTTTTCTGGAGTTCTCACCACGAAATACATGTGATGCAAAAGGATAATAATAAAATCAAAAGACCTAACTGCTTAATAAACTGGTAGATGTGGGTTCCAAGATCAAAAGCTGAGAATCGAGCAGAAGTCCCCACACAGTGACTGCACCCAGCACTGACTGACGGAGCAGCGTAGTGCAGTCAGCGCTCACCGTTCATTCTCTTATTTAATCTTTATGGGAATTCTTTTCAGCAATAACTTCCATTATCCCCATTTTCCTGACAAGGTAATGGAGGCCTTCAGAACTGTTTGACTCTGAAGCTGTGCTCTTAGCTGGGATTCCGGAAGACAGTAAAGGAAGTGAATACATACAGGATTATAATTATCTTGAGATCTCGATCCATAGAGCCCAATGGTTCAATGACAAACCATGAAAGAGTTGCTTGTCTTCTTTTCAAAAACAGTTACAAGGTACGGGTATTTTGGATGCTTTCTGCACACTTGGGAATATTAAAGGGTCAGGGGAAAAATATTTAGGTCTCACAGAAAAGTCCCGCGTATAAATAATCTCCATGAAATGGGGACTGTTAATGGAAATTTTAAAGGTGCAAGATGATGACTCACAGTTGGAGAGGGGCAAAACTTGACCCAATTAGACAAAGAAGAATAAGTGAGACATGAAAGGAAGGTTAAAATGGAGGTATTCTCCGGAGCTAAAAATATACACTAGGTTGAATCATCTCCCAACACATAACTCCAAATAGTCTAGAAAACAATACATCCCACACTCACAAAAATACAAACAAATGCCGGGCGGTGGTGGCGCACGCCTTTAATCCCAGCACTCAGGAGGCAGAGGCAGGCGGATCTCTGTGAGTTCGAGACCAGCCTGGTCTAGAAGAGCTAGTTCCAGGACAGGAACCAAAAGCTACAGAGAAACCCTGTCTCGAAAATAAAAAAAAAAAAAAAAAAAATAAAAAAAAAAAAAATTAAAAAAAAAAAAACAAGCAAATTAGGACGCTAGAACAGAGTCAGATCACACAGAAATAAGAGTGTAGAAGCAGGAGACGAAAAGGAGGGTGCCAGCCTGCTGTAGACACACACCTGAAGGGCTGTCTCTGTGTGATTTCCTGTGGAGCAGTTTAAAGGCAGCCACAATGGAACCCAAGTAACAAACAAGTCCCTCTTTCTCAAGCACACGGGACAGGAAAATAGGAGAGGTGTCCTCAGGGAATGACATCGTTAGCAGGAATTCTGAAATACTTCAGAGTACCAAGCATGTTTTCATTCATTTCACTCTGGAAGAAAGGGGTGAGTATAGGACATAATAATGGATTAAATTTAAGTCCTAAACTATGGTTTAAATACTGGAATGATGGACAGTGGGTGAGGGCTCCTCGGGTAAGAGTGTCTGTCTAGTAAAGTTAGCAACCGGGGTTCAATTCCTGGAATCCGCAGTGGAAGGAAAGAACCAACTCCCTAAAGTTATTGCATGTACACACACACATACACACTAATAAATAAAGTAAAAATTAAAAATAAGGGGCTGGAAAGATAGCTTAAAAATTACGAACACTTGCTGCTCTTATAGAAGATCTGGGTTCACATCCCAGAACCCATATAGTAGCTGCAACTCCAGTTTTAGAGGATCCAATACCCTCGTCTGGCCTCCAAGAACACCAGCCACACACAGTCATATATGCAAGCAAAACACCCTACACATAAAATAAAACTTAATTTTAAAACTAAATGTAAAATATTTTAATTAAAAACTCATATCTAAGCTGGGGGTGTATCTTACCAAAAAAAATTATATAAGCTGGAAAATGACTGTGAGGAAAAGAACTTAGAGACTGATCTATGGTAACAAAGTTCTGAGACGGAGTGCCGAGCCATTTCAGCTCTGCCTTCACACTCTCCTAGAAGAGCTATTATTCTCTGTCTGCTATTCTCAAGGGAACTTTTCCTCTGTAAACCCAGATGATTAGACCAAGTGTGGGCTTGTGGTACCAAAGAAAGTAAACCACTGGAAGTAAATTCAGAGTAATGGTCCCAAACTGAACTTGAAGGCTTAGGCCTTGAGTCTGGAAGGAAGTTCTTGTACAGTGTCACTAAGATGCTTGTTTATTGCTAAAGTAGAAACTGCTGGGCTTTAGAGTTTGAGGAACAGTGTAGACACACTACGAGAAAACATTTCCATCCACTCAGACATCAGCTGAGTTCCTCGTGGAGCTCAGGGAGTCTCCTTGGTCAGATATGTTCTGTGACATTTCCCTACATTTAATTCTTTACTAAATGACCCTTTTTGGCTTAGTACAGGTTGAGTAAGCGTGTCTCAGTTGGAGATACTATGGCTATGATGAAACCGAGTGACCCAAAGTGAGTTGAGTTTATTTAGCTTACACTTTTTTTTTAATATTTATTTATTTATTATGTATACAATATTCTGTCTGTGTGTATGCCTGCAGACCAGAAGAGGGCACTAGACCTCATTACAGATGGCTGTGAGCCACCATGTAGTTGCTGGGAATTGAACTCAGGACCTTTGGAAGAGCAGGCAGTGCTCTTAACCACTGAGCCATCTCTCCAGCCCCCTAGCTTACACTTCTGTATCGTAGTCTATCACGGAAGAAAATCGGGGCAGGAACTCAATCCAAGCAGGCACCTGGAGGCAGGAGTTGATGCAGAGGCCATGGCAGAGTCGCCTCAAAGGCATGCTTATCATGTTTGTTCACCCTGCTCTCCTGCAGCACCCAGGACCACCAGCCCAGGGTGGCCCCACCCACAAGGAACTGAGCCCCCCCCCAACAATCACTAATTATGTCCTACAGGCGCTACAGCCTAATGAAGAATTCTCTCGACTGAAAGCCCCCTCCTCTCCAAAGACTCTAGCTTGTGTCAAGTTTACATAAAACTGTGAACTTGCTTATTTTCATGGAGACAGCCTTTCCCTCGGTATAGAAGCAACAAAGACAAAGTAAGTTTGGTACCAAGTCTTTACAACAGAAATAATAATGGAGACATGAATGATGATGCTAATAGTGTCCCAATGACAAGCACTTTGCATACCAACATAGAAGGTGGATCCGAGGAAATAAGCTTGAGAATGTAGCCTGGGATGGAAAAATTTTCACAAGCAGTAACAGGAAGAAATTGGTGGGATGAGATAAAACAAAGAAGTTGTGTTAGGACTTCAGATATCCAGACGTGTTAAAGTTCATATCCAGCTTTAAAAAAAAATAGTGATTGATTTTTGGCTTAATACACTAACAATTTCAACTCCCAAGGAATAGATGTACTAGCTAGAGGAAATTCCAACTCTGAATCTGACTCATGAAAACAAAGGCTCTTTGGGTGAAATAAAAATGATGGGACCCTCAGCGGCAGGTGTGGCTGAATGACTATGAAGGAAATGATGCTGAGTAGAGTCCAGGGTTATAAGATCTGAGACGGAACCACAGAAGCAAGTTTGGCTCAGAGAATGGAGATGCTCAAAGGGAATCCAGCTCAGGATGTTAAGATGGAACAGTGACTCTGTGAGCTTCCCACTAGGAAGAGAGAGCGCCTGCAGAGAAAGCAAGGCAGCTGCACAGTTGCTGTTTTATGAGCTCACTTATGACTTGAGTGACCTGCAAAGCTACTGTTCACAAGAAGGTGCGATGATTAAAAAAACATTTTATGGAGCTGGGGAGATGGCTCAGCAGGGGAAAGCACTTGCTGCATAGGCCTGAAAACCTTAGTTTAGATCCCAGTTGCTCATGTAAAAGTTGGGCACCATGTTGCATGCAATCCCAGCCGTGCTATGATGAGATCAAGAGATGGAGGTAGACAGTAGAGGCTTGCTGAAGCTTGTAGGCTAGCTAGCCTGGACCACATCTGTCAATGAGGGAAACCCTGCCTCAAACCTAGTAGACATATACCAGAGGTTGTCATCTGGCCTCCATATGGTACCATGGCAGGAATGTACCCTCACACACAAGGACATACATACACAACATACAACTACAAAAATAAGTATCTAGAAATACTTTATATTTTTAGTAGAAACTAACAGTTATGAAATATGGATGCTACACAATCTTTGTCTTTTCTTTCCAGTGAAGTAGGTGATATTTAAGATGTGGAAAAATGATCATAAATAATGTAGTCACGATTGCTGCAAAGCAACAACTTTAAGACAACACAGATCTTTACAGTGAGGTTACATTCGCAGGTCTATAAATGAAAGCAAGGACTTCTAGAAGAGCAATGACCTTTGAGGAGACACAGAATAACACAGATAAACAACATCTGAGTTTTTAAAGTCAACTAGAAGATATGTCTCAAATGTCTACCACAGCTTAAATCTCCAGTGGATCTCTCAAGAACCAGGTCATAAGTATGTAGAAAACTATCATCTAGGTAGCCTACAGCTTGTCTGTGAGTCAGGCATCTCAGACGTGATGGAGAGGGAACCCACAGACTCACATGTGCTAGGTAAGTACCCTACCAC